TGATCGGTAATAACACGGCCCGGGAATGACACGGAGAGCCGCACTGTTTTAAGGAGAGCAGGCAAATTGACTCAATTACTCCTAAGAACAACTGTATCAGGTAGATGCTATGATTACCCTCATTTCACAGAAGAGGAAATGGAGGCAGAAAGAGATTAAGGCATTCGCTCCAGGTCACGCAGCCAGTAAATGGCAGAACCAATCATTGAGCCCAATTAGGTGACCTCTGGGGCTGGCTCAGCCAGCCTTTCCGCTGGGAGAAGTCACCCCGCAAGCTCCCTTTGCTCTCGCTGTCTCCTTCCGCAAAATCCCGCCCTCAAAACCAAGCAGCCAGCCTCAAGGGGAACCTTTTCTTCCTTCTGCTAAGAAAGCGAAAACGAAACACGCCTTACTTCGGGGAAAGTTGCTTGCAGTCCACTTTAAACCCTGACTTGGCAACTACACTCATTCTAACGAATAATAGAGTTGGTGTAAAAAGAAAAGAAACAGAGCCAGCACTGAACTGTTATAAAAATTTCAAACTAAAAAGAGCAAAATAAGGGCGGACGGCTGACAATTACAAAGGAGCGTGATCGGTGTGTCCGTGGGCCTGGAGAGCGCTGGGGTGAGTCTGAAATAAATAATAAGGCAACTTGCTAGAGAAAACGGAATTAACCCTTTTCCTTCTTGCTCGTCGATGAACATTTTATTACATATTTCTGCCCAGAGAATAAACCTCTGATGAAGCCATTTACTCTAAGTGTGGGAAGAAGCACCAAGAAAACACATCCTCTCAAAGAGATGACCTGACACTGTATTTTCTAACAACTCTACATTTTAGCATGTGCTTTCCTCATGAGGTGGCATGCACTTCCCTGGATGAAATAAGCAGAATCTAGAGCTTTCCAATACAGCTCATGGCGGGCCCGCCTCACTGCTCTCCCTGTGATTGTCACCGGTGCGACCGTCCGCTGATCTCTTCGTACTTCCCTCGCCCACTCCTCTTCGCCATTCAGTGCTGAAACTGGGTCCTGCCCTAAGTTCAATCGGCTCCCTCCTCTGCACTCCCTCCCATTTCTGTTGTCCACTCTGGTGGGACAGACCCCTCTTCTCTTTCTGTCCCTCCGTCACTTGTATTTTCACCTTTAACTCTGTTTTCTCAGGGAGGCCAACCGCGAATCCTGGGGCCAGGATACACGCTCGAGGTATGGCTCCCGCGGCTGGCTCTTCTGATAGTGGCTGAGAGTGAATGAATGGAATGGCTGTGTGAATGATGGCAAATGGTCAGGGCAAGATGAGTGTGTGTCCCTTCCCCCACCACTTGCCACAATGGCCGGCACATAGTAGGTCTTCCACTAATGTTTGGTCATCAGTGAAACTGTACCAGTCAGAGTTCAAGCAAGTATTTCTCCTCTGTGAGTCTTCCAGCGTGGTAGACTGACTTCTCTCTAGCCGTGCGAGGCTCATCGAGACAGCGCAATGCAACACACGCCTCTTTCAGAGCGCTCACCGCTGCGGAGGGAGCTTACTTCCAGCCACTGAGCTGACGCCCAGAGCGTTCAGGGGACGTGCTTCGGAGTCCACACCTCATTTGCAGACCGTGGAAGCCAGTCGGTGATTTCAGATGCTAATGACTGACTCAGGTGTGCGCTGTACTCTTACAGAATCTGAGCTCGCCCGTAATTCTCCTTTGAGTCCATAACCAGGCTTTAAGGTTCGACCAAAAATGCCTTCCCATGGGCACGTTACTATGTGAGGTAAATATTGGTTAAGGGTCAGCATTCATCTGACGGAAGATCCCACCCTAATTTCAAAAGGACAAAGTCTGCACCTGTCTAAACGAGGGGAGAATTTAGGCTCAGAATCCCCATTCTATTTAAAGTTCTATACTTTTATTTATTTACTAGAGGCTCAATGCACAAAATCCGTGCAAAGGGCTCGGCCCTTACAGCCCCGGCTTCATCCGGAAGGTCGCCCGGGTGGTCGTTCTGCTGTTTGGTCTAATTAGCATATTAGCTCTTTATTATATAGAATTTTTTTTACTGTGAACTCCTACTAAGTGCCAAGTGTTTAAAACAAATTAGCTAAAGTTCTTGAAAATCTGTCTAATAATAGGCTGCCTTGACTTGCCTTCCTTTTTATTTTCACCCAGATGTTTTCTGATTTACAACGTATTTTTGGTCTTAAAAATTAGTCATGGAAATCTGAGTGCAAAAATATTTATTAATTAGGACAGTTCAACATTTTCAGAAATGGCAAAAAATAAACAGCAGTTACGGAACACCTGCCTAAGAGATCCTGGAAGTAACTGCTTTGTGCTTCATTAACCAGTACAAACACATTTGCCAGTTTAAATCCCCTGCTGAATTCAGAGTCTCCAATTAGGACGAGGATGGATTTGAACTGCCAAGGGAAGAAATTCCAGAGCGGGAGTTTCAGACCTGCCTTTCTGGAGGGCGCTTGTAGGGGCAGATGCCTGTGTTCTACGAAGACGCCTATGTTCTCACTTATGAACGCTAAATTCACATCTATTAGGTCATTTTAGACTACTTTTTTTGCGGATTTTTACTCATCTTTGAGGAGCATTCACCGCAGCGCCTGGAATATGGCCGTTTCCAGGAGCAGGTGGGAAGGGGAAAGAAAGGCCGATGGAGAGACGGGGAGACGTTAGACAAGGTCTCGGGGAGAACGCCCCTGGGGCCTCCAGGAACCCAGCCCCGAGCGCAGTGGCTCCTGAGCCAAACCGAAACAGACCGCTGTCAAGCCCAAGCAAAGGAGATGCTCTTGAAAAGCAAAGAAAATCCAAGGAGACAAGTAAAACCTTTATACCCGCTGCGCAGAGGCCTGGCAGGAAAGGAACCTCTCCGGCGGCCTTCGGAGACGCTGTGAGATCACCGGTCACGAAGGCGGCAACCGTTCCAGGCCACGGTCCCCTTCACTTGCGTGGATCTACGGTAACATGATCCTACTCATCTTTTCTCCGGAGGACATGGGATATACCGGGAACGACACACGAGGGTCACATGACCGGCATTCGGAAGCCACACTGAGCAGTTTGTAATGCGCTTAAGTCATCACTGAACATTTCCCGCCAAATCCTTCCCATCAGGGAAACGAGGAAACACATCTGGGTTGTCCATTTCACCACAGCGAGACCCGAGTGCGAGATGACAGGTGCTCTGAACCCCGCTCACCACCAGACTAGCAAGTACAGAGCCCTCAGTGGCACCAACTCTTCTAGAAGGTGTGGGCACAGTTAATGAAACCATCCCCGCCCCCGGGCTTTATCTTCTGGTGGAAAAAGACGGCCCATAACCCAATGAGTGAGTGCCCCGCAGAGTATGTCACTGCTGCGCGCTGTGGAGGAGCGTCAGCAGGGAAGACTATGGGAGCGAGGGAGGGGCCTGGCACAGTTTTCAACAGGCGGCTGGAGAAGGAGAAGGCCTCGCTGAGCTGGGAAGGGAACTGTGCGAACTCTGAGAAAGCTGGAAACTCCCTGAAAGATGCTGAGCAGGGAATTTGGAAAGGATTCTTCAGATGTTTTATTAAGAAGAGACTCTATGGCCAGATCCCATATTAAAGTTTTTCTATCTAAAAAGAAGTAAAGACAGGGTTAGGGTTAGGACTAGGGCTAGAAAAAAACAAAAGAAAAAATATATCGAAAGAAAGAGAGAAAGAGAGAAAGAGAGAAAGAGAGAGAGAGAGAGAGAGAGAGAGAGAGAGAGAGAGAGAAAGAAAGAAAGAAAGAAAGAAAGAAAGAAAGAAAGAAAGAAAGAAAGAAAGAAAGAAGGAAGGAAGGAAGGAAACGACCAGGAAAAGGCAGAAGCGTGGAAACCGGTTCCAGGCTATTGCAATGATCCAGGTGAGCGAGAATGTGGTGACTTAGAAAGGCTGGTATGATTAAGTGATGACAGGTAATGATTCCGGATATACCTGAAGGCAAAGCCAAAAGGACCTTCTAATTAGGTAGGAGAGGTGAGAGAAATAACAATTTTTGCTGTCAGTGAAGGAGCAGGTAATGATGACCTCAAGAAGAACAGGTTTTAGAGATAAGATCATAATTTGGATTTTCAAAATGTTAAGTCTGAGATGCCTCTCAGACATATAAATGCACACAATCATTATTAAATACAGTGACATTTCATGCTTTTTTATGAATAAGGATGGTATTTTTCCAGATTGTTAATGGTTTCCTAAAGAATTTTTAACTGGTGCATGCTTTACCACTGAATGGATTTCCCTACCTTATGAAATGTACAAGTACAAAGGGAACAAGTACATCCAAATAAACTGAAATCATTGTACTGGACAGTATACAAAAAAATACCGAGAGAACAAATGTTAAATAAGCTTATACTATTAACTGTCTCACTAATTTGAGACAATTAATGTGGGGGGAATTAATTTGGGGAAGTCAGGTTGAAAGAAAACCGGTTTACAAATTTATGGGTGTATACCCCCTAAGAGGGCATGTTCAGTGTTTCCTTTGAGCTTGTACTTGACCACAGTTGATGGTTTCACAGTCCCAGCCCTGAAGTCCCCTCATAGGCCCAGTTAAACGATGCTCTAACAATAAGCAAGCTCAGAGATCTCACCTGGATATACTATTACAGGCTCATATTAAACACCTCATGCTCACATGTTCCCCCAAAGCACACTTTATGAGTTTCTATATTTGTTTACCCTTCTTCAGTTGAACTACATCAGTAATAGAAACTCTTCTGTACCATTGTGTCATTATCCAAATTATTTTAAGAGAAATTTTAGATTTTTAAGAAAAATTATTTGGGCACCAAACTAAATTTATAGGATGTTTAACTGTTTCCATAGATTTTTTTTAAGCAGCAAAATTAAACACACTTTGAGATGATTCTAATATAAAATATTTTAATTTTTTTTAAAAAAAACACAGCTGTACTTTACTCATACTTAAGTGTATTTCTAAGTAAATGTAAAATCTTGCTTACAATATGTAAAGCGAGATCATTTTTCAGCGTGAAATCATAAGTAGTGGTACTTACAAAGCAGTTCTTATCCGGATTTCTTTTCCAATGTTTCTTGTCTAATTTCTTGGCCGAAGTCGAACGCAGAGTTGCATGAGTCTGTGTTCGAGGATTTAAAGCCAGGATACTCTAAAGACAGTATGAACAAGATATAAACATACGTAAATATGTTGGTATTAAAAATAAATCAAAAAAATTTATCTTGACATTACCCCCACACACCTAAAGGCAGACATACACTATAAATGTTGCTTTCCCCTTCTGCTACTGTGATTCCACAATAAACTTACTGCATGTAATCATTTATTAGGTAACATCCTAGCTGAGTGAAAAACCCCAAGGACTGAATGAAAAATTTGCTAAAGGGCCTCAGTAGTAGATCTGAACTGGCAGAAGAAAGAAGCAGCAAACTTAGAGAGAGATTATGCAATCCGATGAACAGAGAGAAAAAAATATGACAAAAATTAAGAGAGCCTGAAAGGTAGGTGATGCACTATTAAGTACACCAAACACTGCAATGGGATTACCAGGAGAGGAAAGAAAGGAGGTGAAAAATATAAAAAGTAATAATGGCTGAAAACTTCCCAAATTTGATTCTAAAAACAGAGAAAACATTAAACTGTACATTCAGAAGCTCAACAAATGTGAAATAGGATAAATGCAAAGAGATTCACACATAGACACCAAACGTCAACACCGAAAAGAAAATCTTGGAAGGAGTAAGAGAAAAACAAAAATGACTCCTTGTGTCCAGGAGAACTCCAGTAAGTTTAACAGTTGACTTCCCATCCGGAATCGTAGCTGTCAGGAAGTAGTGAGGTGAGATTTTCAAAGTATTAAAAGGAAAAAACTGTCAACCAAGAATCCTAGACTCAAGAAGAAGAACAAAGAAGAAATAGACTTGAGCCTTGGCCAGGCAGCTCAGTTGGTTTGAGTGATGTCTGGATAAGCCAAGGCTGTGAGTTCTATCCCCAGACAGGGCACACACAAGAATCAACCAATGAATGCATAAATAGTGGAACATCAAATTGATCCCCCCCCCCCCCCCCGCCCTCCCCCGCTTCCTCTGTCTCTGTAAAAACTGAATTTTAAAAAATTTTTAAAAAGGAATATCTTTGAACAACACTGCACTATCTGAAACTAATAGAATGTATAGGACACTCCAACTCAACAGCCGCAGAATACACATTCTTCTCAAGTGTGCACGGAACAGTCTCTAAGATAGACCACACAGGAGGCCGCCAAACAAGCCTCAATGAAATAAAAGAATTAAAGTCATACAAAGTAGTTCTCCAAACACAATGCAATGGAGTCAGATATCAATAAGGAGGAAATCTGGGGAATGTACAAACAGCATAGGTGAATATGGTAAACATGCAATCTGAGAAAAGCCGGTTATAAAATACCACATATTGGATGATTCCATTGATAAAAAAAAAAATGTCTAGAAAAGGCAAGTCTGTGGAGGGAGAAAGTAGAGTGTGGTTGCCAGGGGCTGGGGAATTGGGGGGAAATGGGAAGTGCCTGCTAAGTGTATGTGGTTTAGCCCTGGCCAGTGTGGCTCAGTGGTTGACCATCGTCCCATGCACCAGGAGGTCACCAGTTCAATTCCTGGTCAGGGCACATGCCCGGGTTGTGGGCTTGTTCCCCAGTGTGGGGTGGGCAGGAGGCAGTCAATCAATGTTTCTCTCTCATTTATGTTTCTCTGTCCCTCACCCTTCCTCTCTAAAATAAATAAAACCTTTTTTTTTTCCAAAAAAAGGGTAAGTGGTTTCTTCTAGGTGATAAAAGTTAATTGTGGTGATGGTAGCAAAACTCTATGAGTACATTAAAAGCTTTTGAATTCTACACTTCATATGAGTAAATTGTGTGGTATGTAAATTATTTCTCAATAAAGCTGTTACCAAAAGCAATAATCACTAAGTTCTATTTTTAGTGGATTTCGTTGTATACTGTATTCACTCTAATAAACATCACTGGAACTTGATTAGCCCACTATAAGTGACAATTATTTTTAGTAATTCCTATGGATGATAGACATGATATTTCTTCAAACTATCTCTTTACATGTCCATGTTTTCTGGATAACAAACATACAATAGAGCTGAGAGTTTTACATGGTTTATTCCTTATGATAAAATAATGCCAATGCAACCTATTAATTGATAAGAGCCAACATTAAAAATGTAACCATATTTTTATACAAAAAATGAAAACATTTTCCTAATATAAAATAAAGGCAGTTTTTGTCTAGTTATTTAACCTTGACCCATTACTAATCTCATATTAATTCACACATAAAAAGATGACATTTTTCAAAGGTGGTTATTGTACCCAACATTTATGGGGGGGAAAAAGAAAGAAAAGAAAGAAAGAAAAAAATGTCTGGGTAACATGCAAGAAAGACAGCTGCATTTATTTTAGTTTTTATTTCCACAATTCCTATTGTGATAAATGATTATGTTTATCTATGTGGGCAGAGTAATGTAACTTTTGAGAAGGAACATTCTGAATACAATTTATTGGCTGCTTATCACAGTGACTTTTCTTTTGCGTAGCATAAGTAGAAAGCATAACATGAAATATTGGGTTAACCTTTTGCGAAAAGGCAGTGACTTGAATTCAATGGATCTTGGGTAAAAAGAAATTGAATTGCGGAGAACGGTTACCAAGGATTTGACTTAATAATATCCCCAATGAAAAGTGATATAAAATAAAAACACGGGACGTGAGTGGTTGAGAGCTGTTAAAAACAATTTTCCAAAGCGAGACTTTTGCAAACTAAAAGTCAATATCACCCATAACTAAGCAGCTGGCAGGACGAGGCAGGGGAGTTCCAAATTACATTCCTCCGAAGAAAAGGCCAACGCAGGGTCCCCACAGGGTCTCGGGGTCCCCTCGCTGGATAAATCGAGCATTTTCAGCGGCCTGTTAACCCTTTCGGATAAAAGGCAAATTCCTTACAGAGGGTGATTGTCTCCCAGGCAAAGAATTTGGCTTTGCCAAATCACTTTCAAGTAATACAATTTAAAAAATGTACTGGGGGCGGGGGGAGAGATGGTGGTTCTAGAAACAGAAGAACAGAATTTGAGAACATTTCACTAATTTCATTTAGTGGAGGAAATGACAGAATAGGACCCAGAGATGTTTATGCAAGAGATCAAGGTTGCGTGCTGCTGCCCGGATCTGTCCGCAGCATTCCGGGAAGTGGGGGGATGTCGCAATACCGGACAGAATTCTGCATCTGTGGCGTGCCCCCCCCCCCCAACACAGGGCAGGAGGGGGAGGTGTGCTGCCTGCAGCCACAGGCCCGGCTCACAAATGAAAGCAGCCGTCTTAGGTCTTAGCCTGAGAGCACTGGAACCTCAGGATTCGAGAGCTTGGATTCCAGCTGCAGGAGTCACTGGGCGGGCCTGTCCTCTTCAGAAAAAAGGGCTTTGTTTTTCATCACCATCTCGATGATTCCAACGTAAGGCCCCACGGAGCTTCCTTCTCCCTCAAAAGTACAAACAAACGTTCCCTCTTCAATACTGGTCGCTCCTTACTGTGATTCTGAGCCATGAAAATGATACCCACAGGCTGACGTTTTAGGTCTACAAGCTGAACGTGACGAATTACATTTCGTCTTGTTTAAATGATCCCTCATGTTTGCCTTTGACAGCGAATGTGGACTCCTCTGTAAGTCATCCACTCTCCACAGCATTTCTTTTAAAAAGAAATAAAAAATAAAACCACGCTTTTCTCATGTTCTGGTAATTGGGCACCAGTCCCTCCATTTCGATAAAACATGGTCTCATTATGCCTATTTTTCCTTCAGTAAACATTCCCAGCTCCCAGGGAAGCAGCAAGGCCTATTGTGTGATGCGTCTGATCAGTCCTCGTGGCTTCATTCAGACAACAATCCAACAAGCGGGGATCGATGGAGAACCGAACCACTTAACCGTCTCTTGCTTCCCGGCCCCGATCTCAGCAATGACTCCACCCTGTGCCACGTTAGCCAGAGCGCCGGCCCCGATCTCAGCAATGACTCCACCCTGTGCCACGGGTGCATTGTTAGCCAGAGCGAGGGGTGAATGTAAGGAATCAGAGACATTCACCGAGGCACCTTGCTTCCCGGACAAGCTCATCACTGATACAGCCAGTCTCCCGCTGGGCTGGCAGCAGAAAAGGAAGGAATTGTGGACCCTGCACCTGCACCGACGTCATAAACAACCTCCAAGTCTAAAACCTTGAAAACCCAGGCTAAGCCGTCCTGGTAAGAGACCCACGTTTGCCTATTTTTTTTTATTTTTTATTTTTTTGCAATGCACATCCATTCTTGGCCCAGGCTCAGGTTTCTATACCCTTGGGTTGAATTACCTTTCCAAGTAGTTTAGCTTCCTCTTATTTTCCTGGTACAAGCTCTGTACAAAGGCCAATTTTCCCTTTATCCACGAAGACTACCTCATTGCAGCTAATCAATAATCGATGAAGGAGGAAGTCTCTGGCAGTCCTAAGTCCTGCAACTCTCTTATTAAATATTCACCACGTACTCTGTATAGTGTTAGAGGATAAATGTGAGCTCAGATCTTAGCTCTACCATTTTTTTTTCTTTTTGGTTTATATGAACTCTCAATCTCTCTACTTCAACTATAACATGGTGATTAGTAATAGCACCTACCTCATAGGGTTGTTTTGAGGATTAAATGAGATGATACAGAAAACTGTCTGGAATGGGGCATGTAGGATGTGCTGACTACATGTTATCACTTAGTATGCGATGGGAATATAGTTTGGACTCCATTCATGCCCCTACATTGCCAATTCTGAATATCTACATACAGGAATATTAAAAAAAAAAAGTGAAGGCAACAGGTGAAAAGGTAGCTATAAATAAGACAGAGTGAAAAAGAGAGATGTCACCCAGGTGAAACCAAATCACTGGCCCCTGAACTTCTCTTTGTCTGAAAATGCAGCAGCCTCCTCACAAATTAATGTGGCCGTCCAAAGGGACCAGGAAATCCAAATACAGCTTTTAAAACCCACCACATACTACAGCCATGTACACATCATTTTACACACACACACAACTGGATGGAATTCTGGCCCCAACATATTCAGGTGAATTCACATTCCATTCCCTTCCCAGG